CGAGGGGATATCGGATGCGGTTGACTTCACGCGGGCCGCATGATTAAATGATAAGAGGCCGTCGGCGTCTCAGCGCGATGCCACTGACACTCACAGCTCCGCCGTCTCGATGTACTTGGCCGTGCCCTCAATGGTGTTGCAGTACTCGGTGGCAAACTTGGTGATGAGCTGGAGCAAGGTGGCGCTTTGGTCCTCCACGGGCTCGCCGTAGCTGCCGAGCAGCGACTGGTACTGGGCGGCCAGCACGTTGATCCGCGTCTTCAGTTCCGGCAGACAGTCGCGGATGTGATGCATCAGTAGTCTGACATGAGCACAGGGAAAGCTTGAGGCAGAACCGCGGCCACGATGGTTAGTTACCAAAAATGAAATAACTGAAAACAAAAATGTAAAAAAATCAAAACATTTTAATTCGCCCGATCAAAAGAGTGAGCTACTACTTCACCGTTGGATTGTATTTACAAGCACTTTCAACCAACTTTTTATTTTCACCTTGAAAATGCAACAATAAAATTAAAAAAAAACTTAATTCATGTCCTGTGAATAATCTGGACTACACTGACCTATTAAGGGTCCTGGCCAGGTATTTGGTCCCGTTCCTATTAGCAAGAGAGGGATACTTCTTCTGCAGGAAAGCGTGTTCATCACGGATTGCGTCAGCCACAGACTTTTTATTGTTGATGTCCAGCTGGCTCCTGTACACGTCAGATAATTAACAGAATTATAGTCCACATATAAAGTACATCCATGATGCTTTGGTGATTGTCGTTATTCATACTTTAAGATGAATAGAATATCCGGGCTTTGCATACAGTGATGGGCCATAAATAAACAATTGACCTTGACGAATATATCAGAGCACTCTCCAAATTCGTGTTGAACGTGTAGCCAACCTGTTGACCACACCGATGAGTCCCAGTTTGACAGGAATAACTCGACCCATCAGCACGTCCATGGCATCGGTTCCGGCGTCCATCAGGTCCAATTTGGTCACCACGGCCAACGTCCTCCTGCCTGGAGGGTCACATTCAGGGATTTTGTTTGTATGGGCTCTTTCGCATATCACACTTTGAAAAATCATTGTTCATCAATCATCTCACGGAGTTGCTTTTGGACATTACCGTCAGGGTCCACCTCCCGGGCCACCTTGAGCGCCTCTGACGTCGCCATGTCGGTGTTGGCGGCGGTGACG